ATTAAAAGAGATCTTTTCGCAATTACCTGCGAGGCATTCGCAGTTAATTTGTGAGTGAAATTAGTAAAAAGAACACAGCAAGAAACTTTACACTCAGCATTGTTGTATTTTACACACCAAACTCAAATAAACGATGTTTTTCAAGAGAACCTCCATGCGCAAAGTGCTTGATTAAGTCCAAGTTTACGAAGCATATCAAATTACTTTATCAAAAACGTTATCAAAATACGAATATTCAGTGCTCGGAAAAGTGCTAAAAACAATTGATCAATTAATATGTTCTACATTTGATCGTCATGTCGCACAAAGAACATGCTCTAATTGATCAAATGAAGATTACCTCCACTGAAACCACAACTTCGTGTGGGTTGTTCCAAATCGCTTAAGGCTATCTAAGGTTTCGTGGGTTGTCTGAAGCTTTGTAAATAGTTTTAATGTTAGTTGTCTTTATTATAATTAGTTTTGTCTTATATTGAGACAAAAACTCACAAGAAGTCAGCATAGAGTACGATTTTGCATAGAAGAGAAATCAAAAACAGGTTCAAATTTTATTCCTGCACTTTTACTAACCGCTCACCTAACAGACAAACGGATGAAGTTGTTTAAGATAGAGCAAAAAGGGTACAATTTGATAAAGGCTACAACTGAGGAGAAAATAAGAAATAAGCACACGAATTCTTGTCAGATTACTAACTGCAAATTTCATTTAACGCCCTTCTTCTATCGTCAAATGAATTTTTCAGTGATTACGTTCAGTTCAGGAAGTTGAGAAAGAAGGTTCTTTTTTTTGTGGGACGTGGGACGTGGGACGAAGAAAAATATTCTGAGTTCCCATGAAGAATAGAACCTCAGACCTTCGGTGCGCTTCCACTGAGCCACAGAAACTCTATGGTGAGCAAGGCCCGTTACCAAGTTTAGGAATTTGTTTGACCACCATAAGAAATAACGCTTTCCTTTTTTTCTATCTATTGAGACTACTGTTACTTGCATTTGCAGTGTGATGGCGATTTTACATACAATAGCCTTTGGTTTTAGGTAGGATTACAAAATTTCGAAGCGGTTTATAATTGGCTAGACGAGCAATAAATTAAAAGACTAACGCTAAATCAAGAATGGGGGTCAAATTAAGTAATATAATGCTGGAGAATGCCTGAGGGAATTGTTGTTGACCGAATTACTGATTTCGCTCAACTTGCAGTATTGCTGTGGTTTTATCGACAAACATCGACAGTCAGAGATGCAGCAGACGCAATACTTGGCTGAGTTTGCTGGACGTGATTGAAGTTATGGCATTCCCCCTCTCTCCCCTCCCGTATTCCCCCCCCCCTTTAAAAGCCTGGCTAAACCGACTACCGTTTTTTGATAGGGTCAGAGGAATCAAC